TGCCAGTATTTTATTGAAGATTTTTGCATCTGTGTTCATCATGGATATTGGCCAGAAGTTTTCCTTTTTTATTTAGTCTCTGCCGGGTTTTGGTATCAGGATGATATTGGTCTCATAAAATGATTTGGGAAGGATTCCCTCTTTTTTGGGTTGTTTGGAATAGTTTCAGAAGGAGTGGTACCAGGTCCTCTTTGTACATCTGGTAGAATTCAGTTGTGAACTTATCTGGACCTGGACTTTTTTTGGTTGGTAGGCTGTTAATTGCTGCCTCAACTTCAGCCCTTGTTATTGGTGTATTCAGGGTTTCAACTTCTTCCTGGTTTAGTATTGGGAGGGTGCAAGTATCCAGGAATTTCTCCATTTTTTCCAGGTTTACTGGTTTATGTGCATAGAGTTGTTTGTAGTAATCTCTGATGGTAGTTTGTAGTTCTGTGGAATCTGTGGTGATATCCCCTTTATTGTTCTTAATTGCATCTATTTGATTCTTCGCTCTTTTCTTTTTTTATTAACCTGGCTAGTGGTCTATTTTGTTGATCTTTTCAAAAAACCAGCTTCTGGATTTATTGATTTCTTTGAAGGATTTTTTTTTTGTCTCTATCTTCTTCAGTTCTGCTCTGATCTTAGTTATTTCTTGTCTTCTGCTAGGTTTTGAATTTTTTTTATCTTGCTCCTCTAGCTCTTTCAATTTTAATGATAGGGTGTGGATTTTAGATCTTTCCTTGCTTCTCATGTGGGCATTTATTGCTATAAATTTTCCTCTAGACACTGCTTTAAATGTGTCTCAGAGATTCCAGTACATAGTGTATTCATTCTCATTGGTTTTGAAGAACATCTCTATTTCTGCCTTCATTTCATTGTTTATCCAGTCAATGTTCCAGAGCCAGTTGCTCAGGTTCCATGAAGCTGTGTGGTTCTGAGTTAGTTTCTTAATCCTGAGTTCTGATTTGATTGCACTGTGGTCTGAGAGACTGTTTGTTGTGATTTCCATTATTTTGCATATGCCGAGGTGTGATTTACTTCCAATTATGTGGTCAATTTTAGAGTAGGTGCGACGTGATGTTGAGAAGAATGTATTTTCTGTGGATTTGAGGTGGAGAGTTCTGTAGATGTCTATTAGGTTTGCTTGGTCCAGATCTGAGTTCAAGTCCTGGATATACTTGTTAATTTTCTGTCTCATTGATTTGTCTAATATTGACAGTGGAGTGTTAAAGTCTCCCACTATTACGGTGTGGGAGTCTAAATCTCTTTATAGGTCATTAAGAACTTGCTTTATGTATCTGTGTGCTCCTGTATTGGGTGTGTATATATTTAGGATCGATAGCTCTTTTTGTTGCATTGATCCTTTTACCATTATGTAATGCCCTTCTTTGTCTCTTTTGATTTTTGTTCGTTTAAAGTTTATTTTATCAGAGACTAGGATTGCAACTCCTGGTTTTTTTTGCTCTCCATTTGCTTGGTCAATTTTCCTCTATCCCTTTATTTTTAGCCTTTGTGTGTCCTTGCATGTGAGATGGGTTTCCTGGATACAGCACACCGATGGGTTTTGGCTTTTTGTCCAATTTGCTAGTCTGTGTCTTTTGATTGGGGCATTTAGCCCATTTACATTTAGGGCTAATATTGTTCTGTGTGAATTTGATCCTGCCATATTGATGCTAGCTGGCTGTTTTGTCTGTTAGTTAATGCAATTTCTTTATTGCGTTGATGGTCTTTTCTGTTTGGTATGTTTTTGGAGTGGCTGGTGCTGATTGTTCCTTTCTATGTTTAGTGTTTCTTTCAGGAGCTCTTGTAAGGCAGGCCTGATGATGATGAAATCTCTCAGCAATTGCTTGTTGATAAAGAATTTTATTTCTCCTTCGCTTATGAAGCTTATTTTGGCTGGATATGAAATTCTAGGTAGAAAGTTCTTTTCTTTAAGGATGTTGAATGTTGGCCCCCACTCTCTTCTGGCTTGTAGGATTTCTGCCGAGAGATCCTCTGTGATTCTGATGGGCTTCCCTTTGTAGGTAACCCGAACTTTCTCTCTGGCTGCCCTTAGCATTTTTTCATTCTTTTCAACTCTGGTGAATCTGACGATTATGTGACTTGGGGTTGTTCTTCTTGAGGAATATCTTTGTGGTGTTCTCTGTATTTCCTGGACTTGAATGTTGGTCTGACTTGCTAGGTTGGGGAAGTTCTCCTACATAGTATCGCGAACAGTGTTTTCCTGCTTGGATTCATTCTCTCCGTCACATTCAGGTATACCTATCAAACGCAGGTTAGGTCTTTTCTCATAATCCCATTTATCTTGGAGGCTTTGTTCATTTCTTTTCACTCTTTTTTCTCTAATCTTGCCTTCTCATTTTATTTCATTGAGTTGATCTTCAATCTCTGATGTCCTTTCTTCGGCTTGGTTGATTCAGCTATTGAAACTTATGTGTGCTTCACAAAATTATCTTGTGTTTTTCAGCTGCATCATGGCATTTATATTCTTCTCTAAGCTGTTTATTCTCGTTAGCATTTCGTGTAACGTTTTTTCAGGGTTCTTAGTTTCTTTGCATTGGGTTAGAACATGTTCTTTTAGCTCAGAGAAGTTTGTTATTACCCACCGTCTGAAGCCTGTTTCTGTCAGTTTATCAGACTCATTCTTTATCCAGCTTTGTTCCCTTGCTGCTGAGGAGTTATGATCCCTTGAAGGAGGAGAGGCGTTTTGGTTTTTGGTGTGTTCATCCTTTTTGCTCTGGTTTCTTCCCATCTTTGTATATTTTTCTACCTGTGGTCTTTGTAGTTGGTGGTTTTCAGATCAGGTCTCTGAGTGGATGTCCTTTTTGTTGATGTTGAAGTTACTTCTTTCTTTTTTAGTTTTCCTTCTAAGAGTGAGGCCCCTCTGCTGTAGGAGCGCTGGAGGTCCACTCCATATCCTGCTTGCCTGGGGATCACCTGTGGCAGCTGTAGAACAGTAAGGGTTGCTGCCAGTTTCTTCTGTTATCTTCATCCCAGAAGGGTACCCGCCAGATGTCACCTTTATGAGATGTCTCTTTGTATATATAGGGATCAGGGAGTCTGCTTGAGGTGACAATCTGTACCTTACAGGAGCTTAAGTGCTGAGCCGTGAGCTCCGTTGTTTTGTTCAGAGCTTCTGGGCACACATGTTTAAGTCCCTCTGCTTCAGAGGAACTTATAACAGCCTTTTTTCCCAGGTGCTCTGAACTGAGAAGGTGGGGCTTTATTTTTAAGTTCATGACATGCTGCTGTCTTTTTTCAGGGATGTCCTGTCCAGCAAGGTGGTAGTCTAGTTAGTCTGCCAGCCAGAGACCTTGCTGAGCTCCTGTGGGCTATGCCCAGCTGCTGTGTGAACTTCCTTGTGGTTTTGTTTACAGAGAACTGCCTTAGTAATAGTGGACTGCCTCTGTAATGGCAGACTGCTTGGGTAGTGGCTGATGCCCTTTCCCTCACTGAGCTGGACCGTCCCGGGTCCAGCTGTGCTTGGTGCCAAACTCTCAATCTAGAGCGTTTCAGATTGCTTGTCTTTGTTGGGAGTAGGACTCAATGAGCCAGATCACCTGGCTCTCTGTTTCAGCCCCCTTTTTTTCAGTTGAATGGGTGGCCCTGTATCCCAGGTGTTCCAGGCGCCTGTTGAAATGGCCACTTGGAATTGTGTGAGTTTTTTTGTGGAGACCCGCACCACAGACCAAAATAGCCATGCTGGAAACTTGTGGCGCTTTTCAGCCCAGAAATCTTCTGGTCTGTGATCAGTAAAAATTTGTTTAGAATTGTGGTGTTCACTCAACCTTTGCATTGTAACTGCACTCCAGAGCTGTTCCTGTTTGGCCATCTTGAATCTCTCCCCTTTCATTCATTTTTCCTACTGTATTTCAGTCTAGTTGTCACTGACCTATCTTTCAGTTAATTTTTTCTTTTTTGGCTGAGCTTAGTAACCCAGTAAATCTGTTTTTATATTTATTTATTTTGTTGTGCTCAGTACTTCTGCAGTTTTCATTCTTTACTGGTATTCTCTATTGTGCAATTAGTTCTAAACATAACTACATTTATTTTAATGTCCAGATGTAAGCCAGTTTCTATTTAGTTTTCATTCATTTGATATTGTCTCTTGTGTCTGTTAGTTGGTGACTGAATGCTGAAAATTGTTTTTTAAAATTGCAAGGGTAAATTTCAGTCTCTGTGATATTATCTCCCTCTAGAAAGAACTTCCTTTTGGTTTCTAATTAGCAGTTAGACTAAGAGTTGATTGTATTAATTTAGGGTCTGAACTGATCCATTCGAAGCTGGATTTTTTTTTTTTTTTTTTTTTAGTTCTTGTGAGAGTTTGCCCTTTTTTGTTTTTCTTCTCCTAATGTTTAGCCCTCCTGAGGTTCTCTGAAAATCTGGGATTTTACCATGGCCCTCCTGCATTGGTATTTCTGATTTTTTTTCTCCTTATCTTGAAAGCTTTGCTTAGCTTTTTGGCTGTCAGTTAATCTACATACCAATCACCAAGTGTTCTCTGAAGGTCTGTTTCAGTGTTTTGAGGCCTGGCTGGCTGGTCTGTTTCCAGGTTTCTGGGGTTCACCCAGTTCCTGCTGTAATTCTTGGGTAGTGTACCAGGACTTTTCCACCTTGAAAGACTGCAAACCTCATTTTTTTTCTATTTACCGTTGTGAGACTTGTGACAACTCTGTGTAGCTTCTCTCTTCTCACTTGTGAATAGCAAATGCTTTAATGTAAAAAGAAGTCACACTGAATGTCTTGTGTGCTTTCTTCTCTGTGATCATTAGTAGTTAATTTTGGCTGCCTTGGTAACTTTCCAGTGCATTTTAAAGATTAAAACGCAACTTTAATCCAGCAGTTTTAATTGCTTTTGTTAAATGGCTAGTCTGATAGAAGCTAATCTGCTATTGTCAGAATGATAACCTTTTGCTGTTACATTCCTCAATCATTTAGTGTGAAATAATGCTACCTCATTGTATATGATGTCCAAAGAGAAGAGTTAAGTATATTTTTCTGATAACATTCATTTCTTACAGGTTGCTTAGCCAGACAATGAAGGATCATCTAGTAAGAGTGGCAAATGAAGCTGAATTTATCCTGAGCAGGCAGAGAGCAGAAGATATTCACAGACATGCAGAATTTGAGGTAGGTTACACATGTGGTTGGTGTGAGGAACTTACTGTTTTTTAATGATAATCATGGGAAATTGTCCAGGTAAAATGACAGGTCCAAAGAAAGAAAAAATTTAATATTATCAAAAAATTAAAATTTAGGTTTATGGGAGAGTCATGGGGGTTCTGGGAAGATATTATTGTCTCTGTAGCCCTCTTGTCTCAATTGCAGTTGAGCTACCAGAGAAGCTTGATAAGAGAAGCCTCTTGCTTGGCTGACCTAATTTTAATAATCAGAGCTGCGTCTTGGCTCTGATAGTTTTCCAATAAAGAAAACTGGTGTGTAGGTTGGCCCTCTCTGTGCAAAACAGATCTAGTTAGCCAGAAATAAAAATCTGTATTGCAAAGGTAAGATTGTCCAGGTTTCTAGAGAGGAACTGAACACACAGGTGTGAAATTTCTCTACCCTTAGAGTTTGAGAGCATAATAGTATTTGTAGCTGAGAAAATGAGGGAGCATACGCCTCTCTCCTTGGATTCTCATAGGAGAGGACTAAGTAATAGACCTATCCCAGGACCTTTGCTTATCTCAATAGTTGTGCCTGAACATGTATAAGAAATACAAATTCCCAGAAGAAATTAATGGTTTTGTAGCTATAGAAATGACCCAGATTCACCTAAGCTGAACTAAACAATTTGACAAACAGTACATTTGCTATAGAATTGGAAGAATATTAAAAAGCACTGTATGGCTTCTAACATATCAAGAACAGATAAACTCATATGTTGCTGACATTTTTTCTGGTACACTAGAAAAGATGAAAAACCTTCCAAGTGAATTTTATACAACCAGCAAACCTGAAAATTATTCTAGAAAAATAAAACTCTAGAAGACCAATTTCACTTAAGAATATAAGTACAAAATTTAAACTATAACTTCGAATAATATAATTCATCAATATAAAGAATTATATAGTATGATGACTGAAAATTTTTACTGGAATTATAAAATGGTTTATTTTAGGATATCTACCTGTAAAATAAGTTATATCAACAAATTTAAAATAGAAAAAAATGAAGATATCAGTACATATAAAAACAAAGCATATCATGTTTTTAGCAGCCAGTCCTATTAAAACTTCAAGAAAAAGATTTATATAAGAAAACAATACAAATATGGTAAAGACTATTAAACATCATTTTAAATGGTTAAAGTCATCTTTTTTCAGGAAAAATGGGTGATACCTACTACACTGTTGTTAACATATTTTTTGATGTTCTTACAAGTGTAAGATATAGCTAATATAAATGCTAGAAAAGAAAGAAATAAGATTACTTTCAAATTTCTAATTCTGTGGTCTAGGAAAATCTAATTCCTGTGTCCTGAGGTGTACCTGGATCTTGAACATTTTTCTACTAGAATTAATAAGAGAATTTGTTGAGGGTATTAGGATTGTTAGATATCAGATAGTTACGCAAAAAATTAATAGGTTTTCTTTTGACAGTAACCAGCTAAGAATGAAAATCAGAAATACAGTGTATTCACAGATATGACAAAAACAATGTTTTGGGGCCAAATTCTGCAAGAAAAGTATACGTGCTCTTTGGAATGAAGCTGCAAAATCTTATTTAAAAAAATATGATAAAATATAAACTAATTCCATTCTGGATGGATAGTCTATCTTGGGTCCTTGGGGGGGTGTGTGTGTGTGTGTGTGTGTGTGTGTGTGTGTGTATGAGAGCAAATCAGACTTCTGTTTGAAATAACTTGAGACTTTCAGGAAAGTTTTAAGAATAAAGCAAGAACTCCCTCTATTCACCATTCTCCCAGGTCTAGTGATTGTTAAATTTTTACAACATTTGTTCTCTTTCTCTTTTTGCTTTGTTTTTCTGAATTTGAGAGTAAATTAAAGTCAGGATTCCCTCGATTACCTTCTACCTTGAAATTTTTCAGTGGGAATTTCCTAAGCACATGTCTTAATCTGGTACAGTTATCAAAATCAGAAAATTAACATTGGCAGGAAGCTATTAATGTGACAACATTACTTGTATTTTTCCAGTTTTCCAACTGGAAAAAAGATACCATAGGATCTTTTCAAGCCAAAGAGAGAAAATTTTATGTCACAAAATGCTTGTTTTTCTCAAGTTAATATGTAAAGTCAATGCAGTATCCATTAGTTAAGCACACCATTAAAATAACTGTAGTGTTGATTTGGCATTTAAATATCCTTTATAACAAATTTAAGATGTGCAAATATTATATTTGGACATTTAAATATTTAGTTAATGTTGGAAAATAAATGCTTTTATGAGATCCTAAAATTTGTGAAAAAGTCATGAAGATGTACTTGAGTCTCCAGATATTAAAACACTACTATAAAGACAGCATATATTAAAAATCTTCCAGATGAAATCAGCAATAGGGAGGAAGATGACATGGTAAATACTTTAGAAACGTATTTGGAAAACTGTAAAAGTAGAACTTGGGCATATGTGAGAATTTGGTAACCAAAATGTAGGCTCTTGAAAGTAGAAATATAAAAGTAGACATCTATTATTATATATAACATTAAGTAGTGGAAAGATACCATCAACAACTTGGAAAAACATAATATATGTGACTGACAAATGATTAATATGTTCACTGTACTCGTGATTCTTTCATTTTTTTGAGAGGTTGTCTCACTCTATTGCCCAGGCTGGAGTGCAGTGGTATGATCTAGGCTCACTGCAACCTCAATTCAAGTGATTCTCCTGCCTCAGCCTCCTGAGTAGCTGGGAAAACAGGTGCGTGCCACCACGCCTGGCTAATTTTTATATTTTTAACGGAGATGGGGGTTTCACTGTGTTGGCCAGGCTGGACGTGAACTCCTGACCTCAAGTGATCTACCCACCTCAGCCTCCCAAAGTGCTGGGATTACAGGCTTGAGTCCCGTGCTCGGCTGTACTCGAAATTCTTAGAAGAAAAACACCCAATAGACAGAAACTCAGATGATATGAATTAGAAATTGACAAAAGAACCTAAAGTGACCAGTAAACATGAAAAGGATACTTACACAAATATCCAAGAAAATGGAAATTAGAGAAATTATGATCTATCAATTTTCCATTCTTAGATTGTAAAAAGAATGATAATATACTGTACTGCTGAAGGGAATATGGAAGATGAAATGGGCAATGCTGTTCTTTTGTATTGCTAGCAGAATATACATTTTTGGTCTTATGGGAAAGCAATATGGTTGAAACTATTAAGATAATTACATTGACACCCATAAACATGCAAATGCCTATTTACCAAGTAATCCTATTTTTGTGAATATATGTTAGGAATAAAAATAATATTTAAAGATGGGTACACATGGCTATTTGTTGCAGTATTGTATAAAAATTTAGCAAAATAAAAATTACAGAAAAAACAAATATTTTTTAACTAGAGGAAAATTATTGTCTGAAAGAATAGGAGGCTAATAAATTAAGAACATATTAAGAGGTTGATGGCTTCCATTTTTAAACATGAGTTTTGACATAGAATTCACAAAGCTATTTTAGTTAATTCTTTTCAGTGAAATCATGTCTTTTTTAAAAATTATTTTATTTTTAATATTTATGAATACATTGTAGGTCTGTATATTTATGTAGTACGTGAGATACTTTGTACAGGCTTGCAGTGCATAACAATCACCTCATGGAATATTGGATATCCATCTCTTCACGTATTTATTTTTTGGGTTACAAACAATCCAGATATACCCTTTTAGTTGTTTTAAAATGCACAATTAAATTATCATTGACTATTGTCTCCTGTTGTGCTATCAAATATTAGATCTTATTCATTTATTCTGATTTTTTTTTATACCTGTTGATCATCTCCACCTCCCTGTGATACCCTTACCACCCTTCCTAGCCTCTGGTAACCATCCTTCTACTCTCTCTCTCTATGACTGGAATTGTTTTGATTTTTTAGATCCCACAAATAAGTGAGAACATGCACTGTTTGTCTTTCTGTGCATAGCTTATTTCACTTAACACAATGATCTCCATTTTCATTCATGTTGTTGCACATGAAAGGATCTCATTCCTTTGTATGGCTGAATAGTACACCCTTGTGTGTAAGTACCACATTTTCTTTTATCCATTCATCTTTTGCTGGACGTATAGATTGCATCCAAATCTTAGCTGTTGTGAACAGTGCTGCATCACACGTGGGAGTACAGATGTCTCTTAAATATACTGATTTCCAGCAATCCAGTGGGATTACCGAATCATATGGTAGCTCTATTTCAGTTTTCTGAGGGACCTCCAGACTGTTCTCCATCATGGTTTTTACTAATTTACACTCCACCAATAGTGATGAGATTTCCTTTTTCTCCACATCCTCGACAGGACTTGTTATTACCTGACTTTTGGATACAAGCCATTTTAACTGGAGTGAGATGATATCTCATTGTAGTTTTGATTTGCATTTCTCTGATGATCAGTGATGTTGTTTTGTTTTGTTTTTGGAGACAGAGTCTTGCTCTGTCACCCAGGCTGAAGTGCAGTGATGTGATCTTGGCTCACTGCCCTAGTTCAGGCGATTCTCATGGGTCAGCCACCCAAGTAGTTTGGATTACAGGTCTGTGCCACCACACCTGGCTAATTTTTGTATTTTTAGTAGAAATGGGGTTTCACCATGTTGATCAGGCTGGTCTCGAACTCCTGACCTAAGGTGATCCACCTGCCTAGGCCTCCCGAAGTGCTGGGATTACAGGCATGAGTCACAGTGACCGGTCCTTTAACATCTTTTCCTTCTTTCTTTCTGTCTTTCTTTCTTCTTTTCTTTTCTTTTCTTTTCTTTTCTTTTCTTTTTCTTTTCTTTTCTCTTTTCTTTTTTTTTTTTGAGACAGAGCCTCACTCTGTCACCCACACTGGAGTGCAGTGATGCGATCTTGGCTCACTGCAATCTCCACCTCCCTGGTTCAAGGAATTCTCATGGCTCAGCCACCTGAGGAGCTGGGATTACAGGCCTGTGCCACCACACCCAGCTAATTTTTGT